GCACAGGACAAAGTTGGCAAGTAAACAGAGGAAAAGGTCAAAATTCTTTTCAGGGAGGCGGGGTGGAAGGCAGGGGACAATTTAGAAGTGTGTGTTTTATGAAGAGGCAAATTAACCTTTTGGGACTCTGGAAATTTATTCTGACAAAAGTTTTGCTTCGGGATAGAGGTTGCAGCCTAGAGAATAGAATGGGAGAAGACAGTTTTTCTGGCTCTGACCGGCCCCTGAAGAAGGCTGCCCTAGTTGCATTGGGGTCTTGGAGATGTCAAAGTCAGTTGGCTGTAGATGGGGATTTTTGAGTTCCAATGTCCAAGGCAAATTCAAGTCGATAATAGTTTTTCTTCAGGTATCGCCAGCTGCTCTTTCCTTGGAATAATGTCCCAAGGTGCCACTTAAAAGCAAAGGCAGCTGTCCAATGGGCCTCATTGTAGAACTACAACATTGTGTTTGCAACAATTCAGGTGAATTTGCTGAACAGCAGCAAATTGTTAGGTTTGTGTATTTTAACAGAATAACAGAATTGGAAGTGTCCTTAGATATCTTCTAGCCCAAGCCCTTGCTCAGGCACGAAATGCTACACCATTTTCAGACAAATGGCTGTTCAATCTCTTCTTAAAGACCTCCCGTAATAGAGCATCCACAACTTCTGGAAGCAAATCATTCCACTGATCAATTGTTCTGTCAAGAAATTTCTCTAGTTCTATGTTGGTTCTCTTCTTACCTGTTTATTTATGAAGAAAATTTATATGGCCTCCATAAAACTCACTCACAGTGATCCAGATAGCTTACAAAAGTCAGGCTATAAACTAAAGCCACGTTGGGACGTAAAGCCCAGTGAAGCTCAAGACCTGCATAGTTCTATGACTGCCCATGACTGTACTGGATTTGTCCATCCAGGAAACTAATAAAACCTGGAAAAGATCCTTCCACCAATAAATGGCAACTTAAGGAAGAGTAGACTCAGTTCATCTTGTTGATAGAATAACAGAGGTGGCACGAGGTGGCTTGCCCTTGTCCCCTTTTTTGACTTGAGAGAGAGTGACAGGCCCAAAGTCATGATATTGTTCCAATATTGGATAGCTTCCATTTGCAGCAGCTTAGTCCCAGATACCCCCTCCTTACCAGATATTTAGATGATTGTGAAATATTTATCTTCAGAAAGACATCTTGGGATGAATAAGAACCTAGTGAGAACCAGTTTGGTGTATGCACTAAGTTGGGAAATGAGATTTTGAGTTGTTGTCCTTCTCTACACACAAAACCAACTGAATGACTTTGGGCCTCTCACTCTCTCAACTTAAGGAAGAGGGCAAGGGCAAGTCACCTTTTAAAAAAAAGTTTCCAAGGAAATTGCAGGATTTGTCCGGGCAGTTGCTAGAAGTCAAATCCAACTTGATATAAACAAACAAAAAAACAGGTTTCCCTGAATGATGGCAGATCAGATTGATTGATTATTTGATGGAATATAGTTTTCTTGTATATTTATGTAACAACTGCAATAGTATTCCGCCAGTAGATGGCATTGTTTACCAGTTTAGGTCTATGGTGTATACTGTTCTTTTGTTCTAAGAAAAGTTTCCTGTTACAGTTAAGCAGAAAAGCACATGGTAACTGTACTTTTTGGTTGATCTATACCACGGTGCTATATATAAACAGAATTTCTAACATTGTTATTAATCAGTGTTTACTTTTCATTGTATTATATTAATACTCAGTCTTCAGAAATGGAGAACCATAAAAATAGCAGCAATAAATAACGAGCTGGAGAAAGCAGCACTTGCATTTTATTATAGGTGGGTTTAGTAGGTTGGGTTGAACCCAGCCTTAATGGGATTTATTGAGTACTTCATGGGTCTCTTAACTGAAAAATGCTTTGGATGTCCAGAAAAATGAGTTCCAAGTCAGAGTTGCAGAAATTAATCCAGGACATCTCACGTCAACATTTGAATAGCAGGACAAAGAACACAAAGCAGGCTTAGGCTATATAAATATAGAGTCCTTTTAATTTATACTTGGTTAATAATTACAATACATTTTTGACTACAGGAATAGAGCAGGTTCTTTTCAGTGCATACATTCTTCAGAAAGACAGGACTGGTTTTGGCAGAAGTTCTATGGAATTTGGAGAAGAGGATTTTTGCCTAGTTCGTGTTTTTCCCCCCAAATTTTCAGGCTTTTTGGTTAGTGTTTCCGATTGCAACACTTGTCAAGCTGATTTTTCAAGGGCATCTGGGGTGGGGAGGCCCCAAAGGTAGATATAATGGCTGTGACATTGCTATCAAAGACCCACATTCAACCATTGTGAGAGCCGATCGTTAAATTTTCTGGAACGTTGCAAGTCAGTTGGGAGCATAGCCCCGTGTGCCAATTGGCTGTTCAGCCCTTACAGGTAGTCCTCAGCTTACAACTCTCCATTTAGTGACCTTTTGAAGTTATGATGGCACTGCAAAAAGTGACTTACGATTGGTCCTCGCACTTACGACAGTCACAGCATCCTCACAGTCATTTGATCAAAATGTGGACTCTTGGCAGCTGGGACGTATTTATGATGACTACCACATCTGATTTGTCATTTGCACCCTTCTTAGCTGGCTTCTGTCAAGCAGAGTCAATGGGGGAAGCTGGATTCGCTTAATGACTGACACATGCAGTGACTATCAGCCTCAATTGCAGTGATTCACTTAGCAACCTTAGCAAAAAAAGGTGCTAAAACTGGGTGTGACTCACTTAACAGCTGCCTTGCTTAGCAATGAAAATTCTGGTTCCAATTGTGGTCATAACTTGAGGACTATCTGCATAGCAGCGGCAATAGCTGCTTGTTAAGCATTTCCTAGCCTACTAATGGCCCCACATCTTTTTTATGTGCAACATGGGCCTGATAGCTGTGCAAAAAGACCCAGGCTTCAGTTACACAGGCCTGGCTGCCCTCCTTATGCCCTCCCACTGCCTGCGGGCACTCCTGCCAGGGGAGCCAATTCTGTGACTTGTAATTCAACCATATTATAGGAGGGCACCAGCTTGGGGAAGGCTTGAGGAAAGCTGGTCCAGTATATAAAGAAATAACAGCATGAATAAGACAGTAATAACACAAGTTGAATTAATTATCCAGAGTCGTTTTTTAGGAATGCTTTGAAACAAACATAGAGCTGCCTAATCAATTCTGAATATATTTAAACAAAGTTTGCAAAGGCCAGCAGCTGAATGCCTTCTGAAGTCATAAAGAAATCCCTGAGTTGTATTTAATAACATCAAAATATACCTCTTTGGGCATTTGGTTCTGTTTTTTAGACCACAGAAGTATCTTTTGTCCTTCAGTCTGATTCCCAACTTGATTCATGTGAGCCTTTTCACTGTTTTTAGAAAGTGCAGTAACATTCAAACCTGAATTTTGACCATAAAAATCGAAATGCCCAAAAACTTAGGGAGGAGGGGGATGATGGTAAATGTCCTTTTTGTGTAACACCCAGATGGGTGACACTTCTGAAATGGTCCCTGGCCTGCAAATAGAGGTGAGAGGTTCTGAAAAAAAGGTATTTGGGTCGGAATTTCCTGCTCTTTTATAGTTAAAAAAGGGATATACATAGTTAAATAAATGCAATGCATATTTATACTGACTTGGTTCTACCTAATAAACACTATGAACATAGGTTAAAATCCAGCCAAAATTGAGCAGTTTAGCAATCTTTTGTGGGAAGGAGTGACAAAAATTTGCATCTGTTCCAGTGGCAGTCAAAGGACTTGGTTAATGTAATTCCATATGAGCTTACTCAGAAGTAAGCACCAAGGAACACAAAGCAATTGGTTTCCTTTTCAATTTGCACAGGATTGCAGTCCAAAGGGCTTGATTTTGGCTGGGTTTTATTACATCTAGAAATATTTCAACATTATTAGAAAAATACTGTAATTAAATTAAGGGGGCAGGAGAAAGATGAAAAAGAAATGTGAGGATAAAGAATATTAGTAAATAAAATATGAGGATTACAGATCCAATTCTGCTGATTAAAAATAAAATAAAATTAGACATATCTATGCAATTGAAAAATCACACCCATGCAAAGATGCTTGGCAGACAGTCTGAATGGGCCTTTGGTCTTTGGAAAAGGCAGAGAACGTCCCTTTCCCCCAAAAGTCCAGCTCAGAAAAAGCTTATTGAGTTATCTCTGAGCTTTAGATTCAGTGCTTAGAGGTCAGCAAATGCCACCTGCCAACACAAGGATTCTGCTACTGCCCATGGGAATATTTAATATGGGCATCTTTGGTATAGAGAATGAAGTGCAACGAGTAATGGGGGATGTTAGGAAGGAAGGGAGTGAAGGAGGAAGGGAGGAAGGAACAGAGGGGGGAGGAAGGAAGGGAGGGAGGGAGGGAGGAAAAGAAAGAATAGGATGGAAGGAGAAGGAAGAAGAAACAGATGAGGCAAAAGGAAGGAAGAAAGGAAGGAAGGAAGGAAGGAAGGAAGGAAGGAAGGAAGGAAGGAAG